TTACAATATTCTGTTTGCAGTAACCAAATCTTTTTTTTTCTTTAGCAAACAGGAAGAGCTACAGAGACCCAGCATGTCTAAATCCAGACTAATGTCTTCGCCCGTATGCTTGGTGGAGAATGTGAACGGATCACTCAGCATCTGTAAGCATGCCATTGAGTTCCTGAGTAGGATCAATGAGCCGGTGGTGGTTGTGTCTGTGGTGGGACTCTACCGTACGGGGAAGTCTTACCTTATGAACCGCCTGGCAGGACAACAGTCTGGTGAGAGAACTGTCTAGACATGCCAGCTTAATGTGTACATATTAGCTACATGCTAATTATAATAATAAAAAACATGGTTGTCTCAGGCTTTGCGCTCGGCAATACTATTGAGTCGAAGACCAAAGGCATCTGGATGTGGTGTGTCCCTCACCCTAATAAAGAAGGACACACTCTGGTGCTGCTGGACACAGAGGGACTTGGTGACGTGGCCAAAGTAAGGACAAGAATAAAGTTGTAGACTTAATAGACTTGTTTATATTTGTTGTGGATGATTTGATCCTGAAGACTCTGTGTGTTTCAGGGAGACTCTAAGAATGATGGCTGGATCTTCTGTCTGGCTGTTCTGCTCAGCAGCACATTGGTGTACAACAGCCGAGGCACAATCGATAACACTGCAGTGGAAAAGCTGCAGTATCCTTTAACCTGCCACACAACCCACTTCCTCTTTCACATATACAAACATACACTTTACAAGATGCTGTTATTCCTTAATGTGCTGCAGCTACGTTACTGAGCTCGCTGAGCAGATCAAGATCAGATCGACAGCAGCAGCAGATGATGAGGAGGAAGAAGAGGATTGTAAGTTTGTGCAGTTTTTCCCATCATTCACCTGGATCGTGAGAGATTTCACCTTGGAATTGGAAATTGGAGGAAAGAGCGTGACTGAGGACGAGTACCTTGAATTTGCCCTCCAGCTCAAGAAAGGTATTTACGAGAGACTTAAACATTGCTAGAATTTGAAACATATGTAAATAAACAGTGACTGAAAACTAACATAAGACAATCTTTCTGCAATTTGGTAAAAATTTTATTTTCTCCTAAAAGGTGTGAGCAAGAAAGTCAGTGACTACAACCTGCCTCGTCAGTGCATCCGAAACTATTTCCCGTCCCCCAGGAAGTGTTTCGTGTTCCCTTCTCCAGCCTCGCCTCAAAACATGACACGCTTAGAAAGCTTGCAAGAACAGGACCTTGTACCTGATTTTCTGAAGGTCACAGGACGTTTTTGTGACCACATCTTTCACAATAGTGTCGTGAAAACAGTGAAAGGAGGACACAGAGTTACTGGCAAATGTGAGTGTTTTACCAGTTTAATATTAAGAAAATGTAGTGTTCAGACCCATATGCTTTTATAATTGCAAGTTAAATCTGTTTATGTGTGTGTTGTCAGTGCTCGGACATCTGGTTGAGATTTATGTAGACACAATCAAAAGTGGTAAGGTGCCCTGTCTGGACAATGCAGTTGTTGCTCTAGCAAATCTAGAGAATCAGACAGCTGTTCAAGAAGCTTTAAAAGCATATCAGATTGGGATGGAAAAGGTATGACACATTATCTCATATATTCACTCAGTGCAGTTACTCATCAAACTGTGCTTTACTTATCTAAAGTTGCTTTAGCTTGGCTTTAGTGGGGATTTTAGTTAAACAATGTGTATTTTGGAAGCAACTGTTATTTGATTAATATAACATTAAATGAAATTACACACACACACACACACACACGCATATATATATATATATATATATATATACAGATCACTTGGGCAGGCATTAGTTTTAGAGCATCATCTGTTAACCATTTAATATGATAATATTCAGCATGAAAACAGAAAAAAGTCGACACACCTAGGCTCCAAATATATATTATAGTGTGTGTGCGTGTGTGTGTGTGTGTGTGTGTGTGTATGTATATATATATATATATATATATATATATACAGATCACTTGGGCAGGCATTAGTTTTAGAGCATCATCTGTTAACCATTTAATATGATAATATTCAGCATGAAAACAGAAAAAAGTCGACACACCTAGGCTCCAAAAATGTAATAACAGACTATCACATAGGTGACATTTCGAGCACGCAGGCTCTTCATCAGACTGATCAGCCTGCATGCTTGAAGCATCACCTATGTGATAGTTACATTTTTGTATTTTTGGAGACTTTATTTCTATTTTCATGATCAAAATTTTTTTGTTGAGCATCCTGTTTGAGTTTTTTCATTGATGTGTGTGCTTTGTTTTGATTTTGTTTTTGCTGATATGATAATAGTCAGCCAATAAATAAAGCTCTATTAATTTTTAGTTATTCATTTTTTTTAAACTGAACCGAATTGTTACAGCCATTAAGTGACAAAGCATGCTGCTCTTTCCAGGTGAAGAACAAGTTCCCAGTAGGTGTGGATGATATTTCCTCAGAGCACCAGAAGTTCAGCAGTCTGGCCACCACTGAGTTTATGAAACGCTCCTTTAAAGATGAAAAAGGAGAATACCTGAAAAAACTGATGGTAAGTTTCAAATGCACCTCTCGCAATAATGCAGCTGTTATTTGAATAATTCGTAAACATGCAAAGATTTGTTTCATTGTGCATTATTTTAAATGATAGTTAGTTGAAGTGTTTAGATATTGCTCTTATGTGTGCAAGGAAAAAATTAGTCTTTTTATTTTATGAAAGATGAAGAGATGCACAGATGGTCATTCCTTAAACGGTAACTCGGTTATGGTAGTATAGTAGACTTTTTCCAGCTTGTATATGTGATGCATGTATGTGTGTTTATGTATGTTTAGGAAGACATAGATATGTACTATGTAGGCCTACTGCAAGAGAATGAAATGGCATCAGAGAGAAAGTGCAGAGATCTGCTGAAGAATCTGTTCTCTGTCATGAATAAACGGCTGCAGGATGGAGAGTACAGTCAGTCTGGAGGATATGAACTCTACTGCAGAGACAGAGATGCCATTGTTGAACAGTACCGCAGAGAACCCAATAAAGGTGTATCGGTGAGGACACAGCATTTTTGTGAAATTGTTTTTTGAATATACAGGTAGGGATGAGCGTGTCTATACAGTAAAAGTTAATAATGTATGTTTATATGCAGGCTGAGGCTGTGCTGAATGAGTTTCTGAAGGAGCGAGGACCAGAAACAAACAGCATCCTCTACATGGACACAAAACTCACTGAAAATGACAGAAAGATTGAAGGTGAATCTTTACCAACCTAATGAATATTTGTAATTCATTACACTGTTTCATCCTGGAGCATTTGTAATTTAATTAACCCAAAACCCCAAATTGTTACTCAAGAGCATCAATAAGGCATCTTGGAGTTCAGGTTCTGGAGGTTTGGTAGTAACATCATATTTCATATTTTTTGTTTTCTATGTTGACTGACAGAGCAAAAGCAAAAGAATGCTCTAATGAAACAGAAGTTGAAAGAGGAAGAGGAGAAACACATTGAGAGTGAACGAATGATGCAGGCAGAGAAAGAGCGACAGAAGGACCAAATGAGGCAGATGCAGGAGAAGTTCAACAAGGAGAAGGAGCAGCAGCTGCAGGAGATGGACAGAGCCATTGAGAGCAAGCTGATGGAGCGGGAGAAGATGATAAAGAAAGACATGAAGGAGAAAGCTGATCTCCTGAATGAAGAGATCACAAATCTAAAAAAAGAAAAGGAAAGTTCTGGTGGTTTTATGAAGGATTATGTGTTGCCTGTTTTAGGAGCGGTGGCAGAAATCCTTCCAACTTTCCTTAATTATAGAGTGTTGATGAAAGGACTCAAAAAAGTAAAATGACCTTTTTCATGCAAATCACTGTTGCATCACTGATTGATTTATTCATATATCTTACAAGACACAAAGTAGTTTTGTTTGTTAAAGAGTAGTGTCCAAATTCACATATTAATGTACTGTATACGGTGTAATAAAAGTATGTACTATGTTGCTGGTGGTGGGAAAATCCATAGATTTTAGCATGTAGTAAGGCATAAAAGTTTTTAGAAGATCTGTTTCACATTCTGTCACACTGCCTTTGTTTTGGTGTAAGCATTGCATTATTTTAACAATAATTTAATGCATTAGATAAAACAATTATATAACTTACAGGTTCATACAAACTCCTTTCATTCCTTTTCCTATTTTTGGAGTCAATTTGACTCCCAACTTGAGCCTTAGAAAGTGATTGAATGCATTTCTTGTCTCCATTTATTTTTTTTTAACTAAGAACAGGATACAATGGCCACATGTACGTTTCAAATTTTGCCATCTTTAAGTAGTGACATGAATTTATAGGCCAAACCAAAAGGCCTCCAAGAAGTGTTCAGGAATTTTCTATTGGTTTTAGAATTATTATTTTTTTATGTGTAAAATAAGGTCTTTGATGAACATTACTTGAAGAGAATATTCTACAATAACTACATAGCCGCACCACTAGGAAGCTGATATGTAAGCACTTCAGTGGTTGTCCAGTTTATCAAGTGCATCTTAGTAGTTGTAATCCTTACACTGTTGGCATGGTTTTGCCACAGAACCTTATTTTGGTTGTATTTTAGCCTTTTTTAGACATTCATATATACAGATTACGTTACTTTAAAATCTAAATAAACCAAGTAGATATTTTTACAACATTTTCATCCCCTTCAATCAGGGATGTACAGCCATGGTAAGAACAGACAAGTTTCAAGCTTCTTCGGAGGTTTATTGTTTGCTATATAAATATATACTCAATGCCAAGTCGACACATTGTCATATATACACAATCAGCCTCAATCAAAAGAAACGTTTATTATATTTCAAAGAAAACTGCAGTCACCACATTTAGCCTATAAGAATGTCGAAATAAACAGCATTTTTTCCCCATCTGATTACAAGCAAACAAAAAAGTGAATACACTCTTAACTCAGTTTAAGAACATTTGATCTGTTAACTAAACATTTAAACACAAAGAAAGTACAACACTATTGTTTGATGTCAAAGCTGTTACTGGACATAGATTTCGGCCATAATTTGGCCACATGTCATAGCCTAACTGGAAGGTTCCCAGGAAGATTTATATCAGGATTCATTGATTTTGTGAATCATTTTAACACTACATGGAAGGCGGCAGTCACTCTGATAACAGCAGCTTTGTTCATAGTTCATAACAAATGGTGCTCGCTTGTCAGTTAATATGGCATATAATATGAGAACAAACTATATATATATATATGCATGCATGTATGTATGTGTTAAATATGTCAATAATGTATGTCCATTTTCAAAATAGTTTTGAAAACAAGGACAGACCAACACCAGCTAATTTAGGAAGGAAACCTGGCAACAACAAAGTCGCTGCAGTGCCGATACCATCCAAAACCTTCCTCGTCGTGGAGGGTTGGGACGTCTCCTGTTTATTCATGTCTGATTTTAGGCTGTCAATATCACGCTGCATCCGGGCAGCCTCCTGCTGAAAGCCCTGCTGTAGAAGAGCTTCTCTTTCCTGCAACACAAACAGCAACTGAATTAAGAAAGTCTACTCATAAACTTGACCATAAACAGTGTTATATTTATTTTCCAAAAACAGTACAATACAATAAACCTTAAGCATTAAGCAATTAATTCTAACAAGTCAAACATGTACAGATTCCATTGGTCTTACAGACTTTATGTACTCCTTCAAGCACAGCATTAAACATGTGACATTTTTTTCTGTTTTCTTTTTCTTCTGTATCCTGTTTTACCTTCAATTTTGCTTCCAGGACTCGTTCATTGTCTCTGCTGATCCTTTCCTGCTCTCTCTCCATCTGATGAATGATCTGATTCACATGCTCATCATGAGATCTCTGCATGTCTTTAAACGCCCGCTCCTGTAACAGGTTCTGTTCCTCTAGACCTTTTTGCCGCTGCTCCAGAATTTCATTCTTTAGTCTTTGCACTGTATTGAAAAAGCGAAGGATTAGACAATACACAAAACAGGTATTTAGTAATGAAAGCCGGAGTTACAGCTACTAAACAGAATATTAATCACAAAATCTGTTTGTTACTCTTCTGTGCTCTCATTTAAGTCCTTGTACTGTCTTGTGTATTATTGAGAGCCTTGCTTGATAGATAAGTGTGCAGCTGATTTAAATTGTACCCTCATTCTCCTGTTCCGCTGTGCTGAGAGATTGGTCAGCTTGTAGAATCATATTTCCAGCTTCTTCTTTTGCTCTCAAATATGTACTCAACACTTCTTCACTCTGTGGAGAAAAACACATTTGTAATCATTTAAAATATCAACTGGAGTTTTGCTGTGATTGCAACAAATCATACTTAAAAAAAAAAAGGGTTTGCCCAAATATATCAACATTTTTATAATTTAATTTTTTATAATTTTTCCATAAGGAATGTTGATGCTGCTTACCATGGCTGTCAAGTTGTAAATGAAAACATTTAAAGTACCATAAAACCATTAAAGTACCATAAAAGTTGCCCAGATTACTTGTGTACTATAATAAACATCTTCTGAAGCCATATAATATTAGTGTCATCAGATAACTTGGAATAAAGCACATCAGTCCATTAGTCATTCATGGTGGTGGTGTTGTGGCTGTTGTTCTTTTTTTTTTTTTTTCAAGGTTTCAAGTTTGACAGCCCTGATCATTACAAACTGTTATTTGGATAAAAAGTAACATGTACATCCTTCAGAAATTTTAGTTTTGTGCTTTAAGGAAAATAACAACAGCAGACAGATTTTTGCAAACCTGGGAGTGAGTAAATGTTTTTATGTTTTAGTTTCATTACTGTTACCACGTCAGCATTAAAGATGTTTATCACATTTGGATAAAAAGTAACATGTACATCCTTCAGAAATTTTAGTTTTGTGCTTTAAGGAAAATAACAACAGCAGACAGATTTTTGCAAACCTGGGAGTGAGTAAATGTTTTTATTTACTGTTTCATTACTGTTACCACGTCAGCATTAAAGATGTTTATCAGAGCTGCTAGCTGCTGTTGTGACCTTCCGGAACAATTAAATGTGAGCAAAGCATGCATGTTTGAACTGTACCATTATTTGTGAGTGTGTTCTTGCTCTGTAGTCATTGGTCAGATGTCTGAGTGTGTCCCAGTACTGTCGGTATCCTCCAGGTTTCAAGTATGATCCGTTAGAAATGCTTTTTTCCAGCTTATCAAACACATCACGCAGAAGCTCCTCACACTGCATGCGAGACGCTTCATGATTCTGCTGGCACATATCCTGATATTCATTATGAATCTTTCCCTAAATCATGAGAAGAAGACAGAATATTGTACATGGATTGAATCTCCATTACTTGAATCACTATCATCAATACAAGAGTAGTACAAGTTTTAAAGGTTCATGCATTTAAATACTTTTAATTAAATGTTTTCATTACACTACACATGCATAAATGCATAATATGTAAACCATTTCATTATTCAGTTACATTAAATGAAAATTTGTAAAACAACAGGCTGCAATATTTTTTGTGTGTATTTGTGCATGCATTTTTTTAGATAATGCAAATTTTGCAAAAGAAAAGATGTCTATGATAGTTCTTTATAAATGTTCTGTTGAGAAATGGTCACAGCATTTTGTAAATGAATGTGTCCAGTTCAATTCAAGCTTTATCTGCTGCATTTCTGAAGATTTTTTTATAACTGACAGAAAGGTAAAAATGGTTTTCTAGGACACAGTATAGTTCAGATTTCAAGTACAGTTTCAAGTTGATCTCTAAGTAGTTTCCCTGTTTGTCCCTAATTTTGTTTGGTCTGTATGCAGAAGGCACTTTACCATGAGCTCTTGATGGTATGTCTGTTCATTGTCATTGAAGGACATGGTGATGAAAACTTCAATGGCCTTCTTCTCTGCATCTGTGTGGATGTCGGACAGTTCTTCTGGGCGCATAGGAAGCTGAGCCATGCTGAGCATCTCGATCATGTAGAGCTGCAGGGCCTCCTCCACTGCACGGACGTTCTGGATCTTAGCTAGAGACACCACTGCGTTCTCCAGACACGGAACATTCCCGCTGCGGATCGCCTCTACATAAACCTCAGCAAGATTACCCAGAGCTGTCAGGAAACAACTCCATAGTTCAGTCAACTGTTTGTTCTTTTATACACAGTCCACTAATCATTGGTTCTCAGAAGAGATTCAGAACTGTCATCATTTATTTCTCTTTAAGGGATTTTGTGAAGACACACACCTGTTCCAGTAATTGTACGGCCTCCAGTGACTGTTTTTGGTTCTGCATTGTTGTAGACGTAACAGCAGAAGGTGTTTGCCTGCTCAAGGAACTCTGACTCCAGCTCTTTCTCAGTCAGCTGCTCCATTCTCCTCATGTTTTGCGTACTAGCAGGCCGAGGGAACACAAAGCACTTCCTCACCGCAAAGAATTTGCGCAAACAACTACGGGGCAGGTTATACTGCACAGTCAGAGGTGAGCTACCTAAAATCAGATAATTATGAAATCATAACATATATTGAATATATTATGAGTGCTAATTTACTGTATGTAATGGACACTTATGTTATACCAAAAACTGTGCTGTTTTTGAAATGTTAAAATACATTTTTCTATCCTGTTTTAAGTTTTAGTAGGCCATTTGTAGGTTGATTGGCACTTTTGAGCCTTCAACGTTGCTGTTTTCTTTTAGCAACCCATCTATCAGCACTGGCTTAGCTCTATTAGTTTGAAGTGAGAAATCAGTTTTGAAAGCTTGTTATTTCTGCATTTTTGACTAATGATTTTGACGTTTTTCAACATGACAAAAGTTGTCTGTGATGGCATATAGGCCTATACCTGTTAGTAAAAGAATATTGTAAGAATCTATAGTCTGCCCCGACCCAGATTCCACTCCACAATATGTTTGATCATGCTCATTTCCCAAAATGGCTTTATTATAGAGAAGAAGAAAGTCAACAGTTATATTGTTTGTAGATCACTTGGGATGATCACATCCTGAGCAAATGGTGACCAATTGTAGAATGGGAGCAGGTGTGGGACACTGAGAACCACCTCAGACAAAAGGGGTGTCAGAACTTAATTAACATACAGACCACAGCTGTAACAACAGGAGCAACTTCCTTTACATTGAGGGTAAACTCTAGTGTATAAAATGTTTGAGCTTAGGATGTTCGGGGTTCAGTCTGACTCCATTGAACCCAAGGTACTACATGTACTTTGTCACTACTATTCTGTAATAAAAGTTATTCTTTATCAAGATCTTCAACGTCTTCACTTTTTCTTACATTGGCGAGCCAGCCAGGAATTTCCAAAAAGCAGGAAAAAGGTAAGAAATGCGGTTTATTCTTCTTTTTGCTGGATTGGTCAGGGAAACCCCTTCGTTTAAAAAAATCTAGAAAATAAATTGTAAGGATAGAAGATAAGTTTATTCAGTATTAGCAGGAGGAGTTATTAAGCCTATTCAGTACAATTCTGTTTAAAATTCTAACGGAACTGAATTAACCCGACGTAATGTGGTGGCAGAGCTGTATTGGAATCGTTGTTTCTAAAGTAACTGAAGCAAAGTGCTTAAGTTTAAAGTTTCTAAAGTAACTGAAACTTGTTGTTGGTCTCTTATAATTCTGTTAAGATTCTAAAGTAATTGAATCAACCCGACGCAGTGTGGTGGCAGAGTTGTATTAGATCTATTGTGTCTGAATTTCTAATGTAATTGAAACGGACTGTGAAGATGTTATAATTCTGATTGAATTCTAAAGTAACTAAATTGATCCGACGTAGTGTGATCACAGAATTATTTCATGATAGTTGTGTTATAGTATAGTGAGTCCGACGTACCGCGACTCTTAAGTTTAAAGCAGTAACCCGAAGCAGTGTGGTTTTTGCCCGATGTATTGTGGCACTGTTTTGATCTGATAAATATTATTTTGAGCCCGAGGAACTGTGGCTACAAAAAGGCTGTTTGAGAAAATATAACAAAAAAAAGAAGACCCGACGTACTGTGGTTTTGTCCGATGTACTGTGACAAACATAGTTATATATATATATATTTTTTAACAGTTGCAGAAGTTGAAGCTGTTATAATTCTGTTAAGATTCTAAAGTAATTGAATCAGCCTGACACAGTGTGGTAGCAGAGTTATATTAGACCTATTGTTTCTAAAGTAACTGAAACAGAGTTGTGATAATTCTGATGAAATTCTAAAGTAACTGAATTGACCCGATGCAGTGTGGTTACAGAATTATTTCATAACTATGGTGTTTTTGTGTTGATTAGCCCGACTACTGTGGCTAAGTAAACTGTTTTAAAAATATAACATAAAACCTGAAGTAGTGCGGTTTTGTCCGACGTAGGCTACTGTGACAGTGTTACATTTTTAACAGTTTAGTGTAGAAAAGTTTAGAGACCCAACGTAGTGTGACTATCTTGTTCATAGACTAACAGGTATCTTAAAGAAACTATAGATAATGTTCAGTCAGTGAAGGAAAAGAAGCCTATTGAATTGCTGAACACAATTCAATAAGATTGTGAAAATGGCAGAGTTGATAGTTAAATACATCGCTAACCACGGCTCAGTGGGAATGTTTGATGGGATAGAGAAGGCAGATGACCCTAACGAGTGGGCTATGTCTCGATTAAAAAATTGTCCCAAAATGCCTAAAAACAAAGAGGAAAAAGTTGCTAATGCACTTTAAGCTCTTTTTGCCTCATACAAGGTAACTAAGAAAAGATTAGAAGAAATTCAAACTGAAAACAAGTTGCTAAATTGTCAAGCTAAATTCTATGTCATGTCATTGAGAAATTGTGAGGCTGAAGAGATTATTTTGAAGGAACAGATAGTGAAATTGAGAAAAGAAATTTCATTCTCAAATTTAGATGTTTGTATGAAGGGACAGCTAGACAGTTGGTAAATGTTCAATCCAGTTCTGAATATGAGGAGAAGAACTGTAAGGAAGCCATTAGTCAGTCGACATAATTCCTCAGATGATTTGGAAGTTTGAGACACAAGGCAAGACAGTGTCACTTTTCACACAAAGGAAGGATGAGCTATCGTGATTTGTTTAAGAAGATAGGCAGTTTAGAAACCCAGTTGGCACTGTTGAAAGGAAATAAGGAAGAAGCTATTCACACCTTGCCAGACACAGCACTGCATGAACAACATGACTGTAGCTCAGTCACAAGCAGATGCTGATGTGAATTGTAGGAATAGTTTTATGATAGTATTATGTTTTAGAAAATATGTTTACTATCAAAAGGGGGGTGATTCTTTATCATTTTTTGGAAATGTGTTAATGGCATTAATATTTAAATTTAATTAATGAGAAATTATTTAATTGCATTCTGTGATTAAATTTCTGTAGCTTTGGGTTTGAATGAGAAAAGATTATTGTGGGGGAAAGGGGGGGGGGACCTCTTCTTTTCGATCTCATTTCAGGTATAAGCATTGAGATACTGGAGAAAGATGATCCGGTCATCTGAAGGACAAGAAGGCCAGCAAAGCCAGTGGAGCCAGGGGACTTCCAGAAGAAAAAGGACTTCAAGAAGGCCAGCAGGGCCAGTGGAGCCAGGGGACTTCCACAAGAGAAGGGACTTCTTAAAGAACAGAGTGATCATCAGAACCAGAATGGACACAATGCAAGTGACAAAATGAAAACACAAAAAAAACACACAGACACAAACACACACACACACACACACTATGTTGCCTGTTGATTGATGTTTTTGCTCTTTTGGCCTTTGGCTAGGTTTGTACTGTCATAATGTTTAGTACATTTAGAAAATCTCTTTTGCTGTTATGGTTCTCAAATGCTCCTCTCCCAAACCCCCAAAAAATGTTTGTGTGCCATTTTGCCAAATTTGAGAGAAGTCCCTATGATAATTTTGCCTAATTGGATGGAGCGACAACCAGTGTGCATGAGGTGTAGACTCAGTGACGGGTAAGATTCTCCTTTGGCCAGAGGGGGGCAACCTAAGGCAGGGCTTCACCGCCACTGGGCACCTGCCCTGTAAGGGAGGTGTAATCTGTGTAATGGGAGTGAGTGTGATGCTTCTTTTGGGCCAAGAGCATCAGAGGGGGGACTGTAAGAATCTATAGTCTGCCCTGACCCAGATTCCAAAATGGCTTAATTATTATAGAGAAGAAGAAAGTCAACAGTTATGTTGTTTGTAGATCACTTGGGATGATCACATCCTGAGCAAATGGTGACCAATTGTAGAATGGGAGCAGGTGTGGGACACTGAGAACCACCTCAGACAAAGGGGTGTCAGAACTTAATTAACATACAGACCACAGCTGTAACAACAGGAGCAACTTCCTTTACATTGAGGGTAAACTCTAGTGTATAAAATGTTTGAGCTTAGGATGTTCGGGGTTCAGTCTGACTCCATTGAACCCAAGGTACTACATGTACTTTGTCACTACTATTCTGTAATAAAAGTTATTCTTCATCAAGATCTTCGACGCCTTCACTTTTTCTTACAATATGTTGTGTATGTGTTTAATGTCAACTCTTTATCTCACCTGGTTTGAGTTTCAATGCACCCTCCAGATACTCATCTGATGTTATTAGTTTATCTCCCCTTTTCAGTTCCAAAGTAAAGTCCCGAATAGCCCAGACAAACGATGGAAAAACTCGCATGAAATCTGCCGACTCGTCCTCATGTTGACCCACTTTTGCCTTCACACGAATGTTCTCCGTCAACTCAGTAACGTAGCTACATTCACCGCAGTTCAGGAGGAATAACACTGGTGCCATTTATTAACTGTTAACTCTGAATACATCATGTGTGTGTGTGTGTGTGTGTGTGTGTGTGAGAAGGATACTGCAGCTTTTCCAGTGCCATGTTGTCAATGACGCCTAAGCTGTTGTACACTAGACTGCTGCTGAGAAGAACAGCAAGACAGAAGATCCATGTGTCATGTTTCTCATCCCCCTGAAATATTAAAAGTATGTGTGATTGCCAGTAAGTGGTCACTTATTTACATTTAGTAGCAAAAGGCCATGTAAAGGCCAAATAATTATGTGCAGTTAATCTTCTCGTCTGGTGATTAATTAAAGGACAGTGAAAGCATAAGGTGATGGCAGATTTTATTGCTATATAGAGATAACATTGCTATAGATGCTTTGTGGTTTTCCTACTCACCTTCTCCACGTCCCCAAGTCCCTCTGTGTCCAGCAGCACAAGAGTGTGTCCTTCTTTATTAGGGTGAGGGACACACCACATCCAGATGCCTTTGGTCTTTGATTCAATAGTGCTGCCGAGGGCAAAGCCTGAGACAATCACATTATTAAAGTCAATGACAAATGTGACTCTGGACCACCAAACCAGTCATAAGTAGCACGGGTAACAGCAATAGCCAGCAATGCATCGTATGGGTCAAAATTATCGATTTTTCTTTTATGCCAAAAATCATTAGGATATCAAGTAAAGATCATGTTCCATGAAGATATTTTGGAAATTTCCTACCGTAAATATATCAAAACGTAATTTTTGATTAGTAATATGCATTGCTAAGAACTTCATTTGGACAACTTTAAAGGCGATTTTCTCCATATTTAAATTTTTTTGTACCCTCAGATTCCAGATTTTCAAATAGTTGTATCTCAGTCAAATATTGTCCTAACCTAACAAACCATACAGATTTAGATTTCAGATTATGTATAAATCATCATTTAAAAAATTGACCCTTATTACTGGTTTTGTGGTACAGGGTCACAAATACGGATGCCCAAAATGGCAAACAACTCTTTTAAAAGTCTAGATGCCAATCTAGAACTGAAAAAATTTTATCTTTGTATTCATGTCAGTTTTCTCTGAAAAACATATTCTATTTCTAAGAAAAGTGACTGTGATATCTTCTCTGTGACGTCATTTTCTCTTTCATGATTGTCACGTGATTGCGAACCACATAATATGGTTTCTTGCATGTTTGGTAACACAACCTGACAAACGTTTTCTGAATATAAATAATATTATTTTCTATTTCTTGCTCTCTTTAAGCAACAAATATAACAATGATGCCAAAACTGCTGAATGAATTCAGCCTTCTAGAGATGTGCCTATTTTTTTATTGATGGTTTGGCAAATATGCCAGTTACCTTGGACATACATCAGCACTTAGTGGTGAGAATGCAGCATCATTCAACAGTTTTCAGTTACAATACCGATGCCATTATTGAAGTGCTTTCCTCAGTCGGTCATGATTCTGTGAGCGGCAATGTCAGATAATGAGTAACTGAGATAAAGTGAGTATTATTCACTTCCTTATGTAATCTCAACCACTCCAAGTAAAATAAAACGGGTTTTATTGGGCAGTTGTTATGACTGAAGACTCATGCAACTGTGCATGACTGTAAACATCAAGCATCTTTATGTGTATGTATCGTTTGTGTCTTTATGTGTAAAATATTTGTAATGATATGTTAGTGCAGTTACTGTTTTGCACATACCAAAATTTGAGACACCGTCAACATTTTTCACATTATCAGTTTATTCGCTATAGTTTAGAAAATGGTAATAAAATATGAAAAGAACTCAGAGTTAAACTGTGTCAGAATAAATTAATCTTGATAATGTCAGATAACTTTGATAGAAAGGTATGTAATGAATTAGGTTGAACAGCTGTCAGGTGTTAAATTTAAGTACACAATTAGATAACATCAATTTAGGTCAACCAATTACCAAGCATTGCTTAAAGGGTTAGTTCTCCCAAAAATGAAAATTAGCCCATGTTTTACTCACCCTCAAAGCATCCTAGGTGTATATGATTTCTTCTTTTAGACGAATCCAATCGGAGTTATATTAAAAATTATCCTTGCTCCTCCAAGCTATAGAATGGGAGTAGGCAGGTGTTTTTGTTCAACAATCCAAAAGTAATCAAATAAAGCGCATCCATAATAAAACGTGCCTCACACGGTTCCGGGGGTGTATAAAGGCCTCCTGTAGCGAATTGATGAATTTTTGTAAGAAAAATTAACATTTAAAATGTTATAAATCATTTTTTTCTTATTTCTGCCGACTGTCATACGTGCAAGCCGTTCCAGGTGGACGTGCCGGTGATTAGTGACGAACGCCTAAGCACGGAGGAGAGACAGCAAAACAAAATGTCAGTCACGAATTAGAAGTACAAATCGAGGATTTGTAAAGAAGAATGTAGGAGGATTTTGATATAAGTCAAGAGGAGACTGGTTTTCCTTTGGCAAAGTATGGAAATTTTGCTTCCTTTGCTCCTGTTAACAAACTTGCGAGATTAGCGTATCTCACAGGCGCGTGCCCGACGCATACGTCCTACGTCATCTGCACGGAACGGCTTGCACGTATGACAGTCAGCAGAAGTGAGAAAAAAGTATTTATCTTAGCCTTAATGACAGCCTGTAGTCTCCTGGGCATGCTGTCACCCAGCTTCATGCAAACCTCAACTTCAGTTTTTTCCCCAGACTCGGACTGAATAATGTTTGGTCCCAATTTTGTATCAGTTTTACTGGTAGTCCACTGTATGAAGAATTTTTGGGTATAATATGTCACAGTTTAATTTATTTTGCTATCCTCACTTACATAAATTAACTATAGTGTCCTGCATCCACAAGTAAAACATATAAAAATTTGCCTATATCTGGTGCCTGTCTGAGTAATTTTTGGTTTGACTGTATTCATTTATCGTAACCTCATTATCATATCAGCATGCACCGCTAATGAGAAAGACTTCAAGCATTTTCTCTCACCGGACTGTTGTCCTGCCAGGCGGTTCATAAGGTAAGATTTCCCCGTACGGTAGAGTCCCACCACAGACACCACCACCACCGGCTCATTGAGCCCATCCAGAATGTCTTTGGCCTCTTTTCTCACACACAGCTGCCCTTTTTCATCGTTTTCAATAAAACACACCGGAGCAGACATGAACCCGCCACACGCCATGACTCTGCAAAAGAAAACAACAATAAAACACAACACAGGCATTAGCCAGTAATTTCATAATTACACACAGAAACAAAAACAAAAACATATATAAAATAAAAATTAAACTTACATTTGAATACATAACTGAAAGGCATGTAGAAAAAGAAGCTGTTTATAGCCTACCGTTAGCAAAGCGATTTGTTTGAACAGACGAAACCGTCCTTAAATTCAGAACCGCACAAACCCGATCTTCCGAGGCTGCTTCCGTCTTAAATGTGTGTCTTTGTTCATAAGTAATTAGCCAGACACGCACTCTCACGGATGCTGCCGCGAGTGAAAGTGAAAGTATGCTGGTTCAATTCGCTGAGACAACGGCTGCAGCCAGCGGCTTCCCAGAAATCACCCGTTTAACATAAACAGCTAAACATAGACTCTGGGTTCAGGTGACTAGACGTCCCCGTTTTCAGGGAGTGGTGTGCTGTCCCCGTTTTACAGCACGTTAAAAACAACAGGCAAATAAAAGTAAAACCCGAGCAGCCAGCTGGCAATCGTATGATTGTGATCATTTTAACCAGCAGAGGGCGCTGCGAGCTATACTTGTTGGTCACGCACAGAAAGTGCATACATTGTGGTCAAAATGAGCCTAAAATACAAAATAAGCTAGATTAAAGAATAGAAAAGATTAATTTCCAAAAGCATAAACATAAAATGTGAAAAGTTGTAATTACTTTACTCAGTTTGTTAAATGTTACAGTTTGAAAAATATTAATCATAGGGCCTATTTGTTTTATATATCTAAATATTTTAATATTTGTTTTCATATTTTCTCATATTTATTGTTTTACTTTTAATGTGTTTTTGCAAAGCTTTTATGTATTATGTATTATAATTTTGTTATAATAGGCCTACTGTTGTAAGGGTAAATAGCTAGCCTATATATCAGCAGTGAGTTGAAGTCGGTGTTCCTGTTCTAAAATTTGATTTACGTAATTCAATGAGTTCATTGTGTTTTCTGTTTGGCTGAAGTTCAAGTGGAACCTGTGTTCCTTTTATTAAACTTAATTTAGGCTACTTCATAGGTACCTGTGGTGATTAAAGAAAACTGTTCACGAGCACTTTGCATTCTTCCCTCATATCCTAAGGCGGGTGTAGTAGCTAAGACGCGAGGAAAGGAAACCATGCACAAATAAGAACCCCTTTTCATGTTTCTGTCCGTCAATGGGAGGTAGCCATGCCCTGTTTTTGAGCTCCCACCCCGTTTTGGAGTTCCCAGACTTCCCACACTCATTTAGAGATCTTCAGGCTGCAGCTTCTCTTCTCCAATTATTGGACGTTTTGATGTGCTTTGCCTAACTTGCTAAATCATAAAGGCTCACTAAAGAAAAAGAAAAAACGTCTCTTTATCTTTCTCTCAACGGCTCTTTCATCAAACTGGCATAGGTGATAAACTCACGTGCCATCCAATTTCAAAGAAAGAAAGTGAACTCGAAACCGAGAGCTCACGATCCTATCATCTGCTGCGACAGTAGGCCACACACACACACACACAGGTTTGTTTTTATGGTTTATGGGGACTCTCCATAGGCGTAATGGTTTTTCTACTGTACAAACCATATTTTCTATTGCCCTACACCAACCCTACCCCTAAACCTACCCCTTACAGGAACCTTTCTGCATTTTTAGATTTTCAAAAAACTTAATTCTGTATGATTTATAAGCTTTTGTACCAGTGGGGACCACAATTTAGGTCCCCACCGTGACACGAGTCCCCATGAGTCTGTGTGTAGTCAGGTTTAAGTCCCCACCAGGATATATAAACAGTACACACACACACACAGGTTTGTTTTTATGGTTTATGGGGACTCTCCATAGGCGTAATGGTTTTTCTACTGTACAAACCATATTTTCTATTGCCCTACACCAACCCTACCCCTAAACCTACCCCTTACAGGAACCTTTCTGCATTTTTAGATTTTCAAAAAACTTAATTCTGTATGATTTATAAGCTTTTGTACCAGTGGGGACCACAATTTAGGTCCCCACCGTGACACGAGTCCCCATGAGTCTGTGTGTAGTCAGGTTTAAGTCCCCACCAGGATATATAAACAGTACACACACACACACACACACACACACAAAGCATATGTAAACATTTTAACAAACGTTAAATGTAGTATAATTCATAAACTACCCCATTTGTTAATAAAAGAGTTAGTTCAGCTATCCTTGTGGGGACTCTCCATAGGCGTAATGGTTTTTCTACTGTACAGACCGTATATTCTATTGCCCTACACCAACCCTACCCCTAAACCTACCCCTTACAGGAACCTTTCTGCATTTTTAGATTTTCAAAAAACTTAATTCTGTATGATTTATAAGCTTTTGTACCAGTGGGGACCACAATTTAGGTCCCCACCGTGACACGAGTCCCCATGAGTCTGTGTGTAGTCAGGTTTAAGTCCCCACCAGGATATATAAACAGTACACACACACACACACACACACACAAAGCATATGTAAACATTTTAACAAACGTTAAATGTAGTATAATTCATAAACTACCCCATTTGTTAATAAAAGAGTTCGTCAAAATCCATATTTATATACGACCACCAACTCAATCACCTCAAATTCATATGGATGAGGACGACTAGACCTCCTATCTTTATTCTGCAATAGCTCACCTTGCTCAAGAAGTCGTTCTGCAGCATCACGATTTCACGAAAATCACCTCATTTTACGGACTTTCTGGGAGTGGGCTTCTGAGACGGCGCTGACCACCTCTTCAGTATTTATACACGAGCTTCAGTCAGAACCATCCACGACCGAAGACAAGCAGAGGTAAGATCTATTTTTCTCCTCTTTAAATTACTTAAGCAGACATTAGAAATAAAATCTCTTAAAACACATAATCATAGGCCTACAGTCTAATGTAGTAATTCAAATGTTTGTAATCACCTTCCATATTTCAAGATTGCTTTTCATATTTAAGTGAACTCTGTGAAATCTACTGATATCATCATATGCATAGATATGAATAAAAAGATATCAAAACAACCATTCTTAGTTTATTATTTTGGATTGTTTGGATCTTGTTTTATTTTATTTGTCTTTTGGTATTTTACTGCCCTTTTGGTATATTTGGTATTTTCAGACCAAATTCTAATGAACACTATATGTAATAATAAAAAGAGCTGTCAATTATACTGTAGCCAGGGGGCAGCACAGCACTGCTTAAACAGCTACTCCACATATTCTCCAATTATTCCACTGCAGAGGAATGAAACTAATGTATAAAGGCTATAATTCAAACTGAAATGCAAATTAATAATGGGAAGGGCTTCCATAACAAAACAAAAAAAAGAACAGTTATGACTGGAATGAAATTTCTGTCTAAATAGATAAATAAATAATCATGCACATGTGTTTTATTATTCTACAGAGCCCATGTGCAGGGGGTTTCAGATAACAGACAGAGCTGTTGTTTGTCAGTGTAAACTGAATCTGAAAACTCTTTCACTTTCGACTCCTCCATTAGAGATCGGCCAGTGACAGTGCATTTTTTTCAATCAATATCATGCATAGAGCAGAGGATAAGAAACTTATAGGCAGAAGATATGTTAAGCTGTTTCTCTTTAATTGTATGTAGATGCAGTGGTTTACACAGGCCTGAAGATTTGCAATATTTCTTTAATTACAGCAGCAAATTTAGAGACATTACACACAGACTAAAATGCAAGAAATACTACTTGATCAAGAGCTGTAATATCATAATGCAGCCCAACCTAGCTGCAGTTTATCACAGCTATGCTGAAACTCAGACTCATATTGACACTGTGCGTTAAGTCTGTTTGATTTTGTGTGTATGGTTTTTACGTAGGATCGTGTCTTGTAGTAAGTACATGCCAGCTCCAGTGTGTCTCATTGAAAATGATGAAAATGGGCGGCTGCGTGTGAGAAAAGAGGCCAAAGATATTCTGGATGGGATCAATGAGCCGGTGGTGGTGGTGTCTGTGGTGGGACTCTACCGTACGGGGAAATCTTACCTTATGAACCGCCTAGCAGGACAACAGTCCGGTGAGAGAAAATGCTTAAAGTCCTTCTCAAGTGCAGTATATGTTGATATGATAATGAGAACATCTGAAAACAGTAACTGCATAATAATAATGTTATTGTCTCAGGCTTTGCTCTGGGCAGCACTATTGAATCAAAGACTAAAGGCATCTGGATGTGGTGTGTCCCTCACCCTAATAAAGAAGGACACACTCTTGTGCTTCTGGACACCGAAGGACTTGGGGACGTGGCAAAGGTGAGCACAGTCACTAACTACTACTAATAATTTCCCAGTCTCAGTTTGCCATTAGTACCTCAGAAGGAACAGTATTAAGTTGTATTGTGTTCTGAATGAATACTTTGATCTGAAGACTCTGTGTGTTTCAGGGAGACTCTAAGAATGACGGCTGGATCTTCTGTCTGGCTGTTCTGCTCAGCAGCACATTGGTGTACAACAGCCGTGGCACTATTGATAACACTGCAGTGGAAAAGCTTCAGTATCCTTTAACCACATAACCCATTCCTCTTTCATATATACTGGATATAGCCTACACTTTACAAGATGTTGTTATTCCTTAATGTGCTGCAGCTACGTTGTTGATCTCGCTGAGCAGATCAAGATCAGATCGACAGCAGCAGCAGATGATGAGGAGGAAGGAGAAGATTCTGAGTTTGTGCGGTTTTTCCCATCATTCATCTGGGTTGTAAATGACCATTAAATCCCCAATTCATTGAAGTGGGTCGACACCTTTACTTCCAGCCATAGAGGGCGGTGTTGCCATGGAATAGTCAAGAAAGGACTTAATTATTAAATCGAGCCAAATGTTACTAAATAACTATTTATTTGTTTTTGTTTTGGTTGGTGATTTTCGCAGAGTGCTTAGTGTGGACATTGTGTGCTTGTTTGTTTTTCAAGAGTGTTTGCGTTTCTTGCCTCACGCTTTTATTTCGAAATCTGAAACGGAAGTGCAGTGGTGCTGTGTCTGTGTGTGTACATTGGCGCACTTTTTTGTACGTGAAGCGTCATTCTGACTAACGTTACAGAGAAGAAAGATGAACTTTTGGGTACACGCTCTACAAATATACGCTTAAAAGGTTTCTTATCTCTTAGCTCCTGGCTGATGAAGGGCACAAGTTACCGTTTTAATTACGTGCTGTGTGGTAAACTTTGAAGTGTTTATTTTAGCGATCTCCTCTGAAGCTATTAACTTACGTTTAGCGGGTCATTAACATATGTGCAAGTTTCGAATATCAGTGATGACCATTTAATTTGCTATTGTTATTCAGAGAGTGTGATTCATTGTTACTGTCTTAAGCAGAACAGTGTATTATTGCCTCGTCAATGTTATAGTTTCTCTTGGTTTGCACTCAAGATAGATTGTTTACAGTAAATCAGGTCTTTATTTGGTCATTTTATATGTTTTATGTTTTTCTCACTAACTTGATATCATCAGTTGTACCAAAATTAATTCATTGTTAACTC